TGGAGGCTCCTTCTCGTATGATGGACGTTCCCCAGGAACGTTGGGCATTCATGAATCAGACCAAAACCTTAATTTAGGGCCTTGGACCCTATTTAAACACCTTAACTCATTTCCAACCCTTCTTATCTTCAACCTCCATCCCCTCTAACCCTAAATTCGAAAGTCTGACCCCATTTGGAAGGATTTTGAGCCTTGGAGTGATTTTGGGTGGATTTTTAGTGCATTTGGAATAAAAATAACTCCTTGGAGAAGTGTGGGTTGTCTTGGAGCTTGGAGATCCAGACCTTGTTCATCTTGATCTAGCTTATGGAGGTATAAAGTCTTAATCTTGATGATGTATTTGTTAGATCTAGCTAGTTTTGGGTGTTATGGGCTTTTGCTCACTTTAGTGCCATAAAGTTTAGATCTGAAAGTTTGTGACCTTGTTATGGATAAAGTTGGAAACTTTATCCATCTAAACATCCATTGATTCAGATCTAAAGGTTGGAGACTTGGACTTAATGGATTAAGTTGAAAAAGATGAATATTTTGGTCCCTTTGAGACTTAAAGACTAGATCTTGGTCATTTGGACCGTTCTAATGGATAAAGTTGGGAAAACTTTATCCATTATGGAGTTATTAGGAACCACAAATGTGATCTTGATTGTTAGTTTCCTCCCATGCATGAGTTATAAGGTCTTAATGGGTTAAGTAGTTAGGGTTTTTGGTGTTCGGGCACTTAATGGCCATGCTAGACTATAAAGTTTGAAACTTTATGGTTAAGGACGTTCTTCTAAGACCAGATCTGGATTATGGGCAAAAGAGCTTAAGGATTAGCTCTTAACAAGAAAAAGGAACTCAGTCGTGTACGTTAGGCGTTCGTGGTCAGCCATCACGTTTTGGTCAAAATCGTGTACGCCAAGCGTACAAGCTGGGAACGTTGGGCGTTCACAGCCATGTTGACCATCTTTTACTTTTGGACTTCTTTTACGTTGACTTGGATTTGGCCAAGTTTGACCTAAGGATATTTTGAGTATTTTGACTTATATTTGAGGCTAGTCACTATTTGATGAATAGGTGACGGGTAGAGCTGATATTCGAAGTCGGGACCTATTTAGCTATTTGTTCAAACTGAGAGGCGACTCTCCTTACTACAACCGTAGGTTGAAGGCACCAATGTCGGCCCACTATGATTTGTTATATGCTAGTTGTCTTTGTGGCTCTTGCATGGTATGTTGGGCTAGACCCATTGTATGCTAGGATGGGCCCATGGATCAGGAAGGGCTAGGCTCAAATGTATGTTGGGTTGGATCCAATGTTTAGGAAGGGTTAGGCCTATTATTATGGTTTGGGCCCAATGTGCGGGCTAGACCCAGTGATATGTATGGTATGTGGTATCTTGGGGAACTCACTAAGCTTTGTGCTTACAGTTTATGTTTATGGTTTCAGGTACTTCCAGTTCGGAAGGGAATGGTCTGGGGTGAGTGCATAGCATCCGCTAGAGTTTATTCCGCATTTAATTAATTGAAATTTTACTATGATTTTTAATTACTATTTTTCACATTGAATTATTTGGAAACGGAATGTTATATGAATTAATAATTTAAAATGAAAATTTTTCTTATGATTTTCGGGACATTACACTATTTTTTCTGTTTTTTGCAATTTCTTTTAATTTCTTTACCAAAATCCAAAGTACATTGTCATTTGGTGCATTTTCCATATTTAGGTTGTAAATGCAGTAAATAGCAATGTACTTTGAATTTACACTTTTTCTGTTTTTTTTACAATTAGTTTTGATTTTATTCACCAAAAAAACACAAAATAGCAATGTACTTTGAGTTTACACCTTTCTGTTTTTGTTTTTAGCAATTTCTTTGATTTTTTACCAAAAAACCAAAGCACGTTGCTATTTGTTGCATTTTTTCATATTTAGGTGGTAAATGTACTAAATATCAATGTACTTTGACTTTACATCTTTTTGTTTCTGTTTTTTGCAATTTATTTAATTTTGTTACCAAAAAACAAAGTATATTGTATTTGTTGCATTTTTTCATATTTAGGTGGTAAATGCACTAAATAGCAATGTACTTTTACTTTACACCTTTTTGTTTATGTTTTTTTCCAATTTCTTTTGATTTCTTTACCAAAAATAAAAATTATATTCCCATTTTGTGCATTTTCCATATTTAGGTGGTAAATGCACTAAATACCAATGTATTTGAATTTTCATGTTTTTGTTTTTGTTTTTTGCAATTTATTTGACTTTTTTACCAAAAACCAAAGTGTCGGATTAGGTGTATAAGCCCATAACTATTTTGGTATGCACTTGACCCGATTATGAGCATGGTCCTTTTGGGTTGCCTTCACCATAGCAACTGATAGGATGAATTATGGAGAAAGAGGATTAATTATCATTTATTAATATATTATAGGAATAATATATTAAAGGAGAAATCATATTGTTTAATTAATATTGATCAAGAATTAATTTAGAATTAATTTTGTGGTCAAAAGAGATTAATTAAACTTAGGGGACTGGAATTGCAATTATAAGATAATTGGTTTTGGGCTGTAGATCCCTTAGGAATAAGGTGGGCGAATTCAAGGTGGAAGTCCACTTAGAAATCATCCAGGCCTTGATTCTGGAAGGATCTAAAGGGCTGCTTGGTGGCTAAGCAATCCAATTAGAGTTTTGACTGAAACCCTAGCAGCTCACCTATAAAAGGAACCCTAAGGCTCCCAAAATTCAGCCCTATGCTTTCCAAGAGTGCCTTGGACGAATTTTGTGCCTCCTCCTCCCTCTCCTAAGTCATATTGTTGCTTGTGGTGTTTGTGACTCCATTAGAGGTGCAACACTTGGGGCACTAAGCTTTCAAGAGTCAAGGACTTTGTGGTTTGTGATTGTTATTGCTACATAATAATCAAGGTAAGATCTAAACCCTAATTATATGTTAATTTCGATTATAGTATGCTAGATCTAGGGTTTATTGCTTTGGTATTCAATGTTGTATGTTCAAATTAGAAAACCTAGATCAAAGCAATTAGGGTTGCATGAACACCATAGGATTGATGTTATGCTAATAACCCATCACAAAGTACATTGCTATTTGTTGTATTTTTTCATATTTAGGTGGTAAATGCACTAAATAGCAATGTACTTTTAATTTACACCTTTTTATGTTTTTTTCAATTTCTTTTGATTTTTCTACTAAAAACCGAAGTAAATTGATACTTTTCACATTTTTTCATATTTACGTAGTAAATGCACTAAATAGCAATTTACTTTGAATTTCCACCTTTTTGATTTTGTTTTTGCATTTTATTTTATTTTTTTTCCAAAAACCATAGTACATTGCTATTTATTGCATTTTTTCATATTTAGTTGATAAATGCACCAAATATCAATGTACTTTCAATTTAAACTTATTTTTCTTTTTTTTTGCAATTTATATTGATTTCTTTACCAAAACCCAAACTACATTGCCATTTGGTGTATTTCCCATATTTAGGTTGTAAGTAGACTAATTTCAATTTGCATTTTTTTGTTTCTGCAATTTATAATGAGGTAGAACAAAATGGTGAGACTCGATCCATAATTTTTTATTTTTGCTTATTTGTGTGGTTGTTAATACATATATTTTTTATTATTAGTGATTGCAAAAGCTAGGTTACGAATGGATGATCTTGTTCATGGGAATTGATTCCTTGAGACCAAACATAGATTGTTAAATGGAATTTTATTGATTCAATATATGGATTTCGTTGAGTATGAATGGCATATCTTTGAGCTTCTATGGTGATGAACAACAAACCACTGAACCAAACACCCCCCAATGCCATAGAAGGGTAAAATCGGAAAATAGGGCAATTATGACAATTTTTGCCCAAATGTACGGTTTTTGTGGACATAAAATTGGACTTAGGATATAACCGAACATTTCTTGAAAACTTGAAGGTTTTTATGACATTAGCCCTTTGCCAAAATATGCACTTATTTTAATTTTTTAATACCTACAAAATGTAGGTAAAAATTTGGGAAACAGTTGAAATCAGTCACAATTTTTTTAAAACGTATTTTGCTCGTTTGCAAAGAAGTTTGTTTCACATTTCTAGAAATATGTTTGCATTTGCATTTTTTTCAAGTTGGGTGTTCTTAACTTTTAAGATTTCAACCTTTTTCCACAAAGAAATGACAGAATGTTCTCGGGTTCTTTTTCAACAGAAAAGAAAGGAATTGGCCAAATCCTTTTTGATGATTTCTTTTCCAAAACTTTCCTGCCAATGAAAATACTTGACCAAAAGGAAAATACTTTTATACCCCTAACCTAAACTTGGTTATTCTAGAATATCGTTATCAAATTTTCAATCCTTGAACTCAATAACAAGAAAGAAGAATTAAAACATAATACTCACCTTTTCATTTAACTTTCAACTCAATAACAAAATATATAATGAAAAGGTTGTTTGGTGGCCTCTTAATAGTTCCATTCATAGTCAGCATCTATGAAACAACCATTAAGAGTGTTTAGCTCGTTAAGTTGGACCTTTGAATTAGTCAAAGGCAAGCATTTGAATGATTCAGCTAGAAGGATGAGTCTTTAGTCTTAACAATTCAGATGTGAGAAATTACATCCACATAAAAATACATGCTTCATTAACTTGTACAATAGTTATAATGGTGTTGTACCTTATGTGGATGAATCAAAAACTAAACTTCGTTAGTATAATGTACACACGTGGCACTTAGTTTGTTATTAACAAGTGGGAGTTAGTTACAAGTTCGTTTGTTTTCAGTTAGTAGATTAATAATTTAGCAGTTTTTACTTTTTAGCAAATGTTGATAATAAACACACGTGTTTTTAGCAAATGTTAGTTACAATATACGTTACTTTTTACCCTTAATAGCAATATATTTACATTTCTTTACCCACAAAGTCAACATACTTACATTTTTTACCAAATACTAGCAATATATTATAACTCATAATAGTATGTAGCTATTCACCACAAACAAAGATATAAAGTAAACAATAGCATGATTAAAAAATCGATAAATTAACAAAATCCGCAAAAACAACAAACATAATACAAATAAAAGAAAGATAAGTTCATGGTAACCACATTGTATGAAAAGTGAAAACTGACTCCAAATATATAGCTGCACACATGAAGCTTTTATTCAAAAAGTAAACACAGCTCATTGATTTAACAAATGAAATTCATATAAAACATGATAAAAGTACATAAATAAACTAACCTCCATTTCAGAAGATAATGTCCTCATCTTTCTGGGCAACAGTAAGCATGTCATGAGCAGCATTAATGGAGATTCCTTGTTCTAAAGAAAGATGTTCAGCAGCTTGTAACTCCCGAAACTGAGCAGCAGCTTTCATCTTATTTTCAATCTCCCTCTTTTTATAAGCTTGAATCTTTTTCAACCTAAAGAAATCCTCCCTTTCCAATTCATCAAGCTCCCCTTTGATGTAACTTATGGTGTTCTCTAATCTTGGTTTGACCACACTCTCAAGAGCATTGACCCTACGGTTTGTAGTTTTGATTGCTTCATCGAGTGTCAAGAAAGATGTTTGAAGGGATGCAAGTTCAACAAGAACCTCAATTGCTTTCACATATGCAGTTTTACATACTTGAACTTGTTGCCCACCTCTTGCTAAACCAGTTAAGTCGTTTTTTGTTTCTGATTCAGTGAAGTAGTCGAATTTAGGAAGCTTTACACCTGCAATGTTCTCTGTGCGTGATTTGACTCTGAGAGTTGCGGTTTTGACATTTTCAATAACAGTGAATTTGATGTTTTCTCCTGCAACGTATTTGGCTTCAGTTAAAGCAAAGGAGGAAGCTTTCATTACAGTTCCCATTGATTCTTTTGTTGTGACGATTTTTTTAAGGATAGCTCGAAATTGAACTGTTAGAGCATCGCTTTTCTTCTTGAGAAGAGCGTGGCCTCTGGTTGCACCTACAAGACGAGCTTTGACAACTCCAAGCACAGTGACAGTTGGGACGACATTCAAACGCTGGGTCTGGCCAGACATCTTGTTGAATATGTAAACCTGTTAATAGGAAGAACAATCAAAAGGGGGTATACCTATTTGTGTTTGACTAGGAATTGAAGTTCGTTTAGATGAGATTCGAAGCTCGGATTGCTCCGATGGAGTTCAAGTTCAGTATACTGGATTGAATTTATGTGAACGATGATCACAATTACTAAGATCTACTCCACGGATTTGTGCGGTTTTCAGAAGTTGTGTCAAATAAGTGCAGTTAGGGCTAGATAAAGTGAACTTCAAATCTAGTTACTAGATTCCAAGTCTGATAAATTTGGATTAAATCCGGGACGATTGGTCCAGATTCTGATCTCGGAGACTTGGATCAAAAATTGTGAGGCAGTAAGGGTTGAACCATACGACTATACAGCAAATTTAGATCTGTAAAAGCAACGAAGATAGAGAAGAAAGAAGAGTACCTGATAACGATACTGCTAGTGCTTTTTGATGGAAATGGAGAAGAAGGTCATACACAAGACGATGATCGCCAGAGTTCTTCCCTCAATCCCGACGAACCAGGAAAGTAGATCCTCTTTTTAATTTTAGCTTGTGATGATGATTATTGAAATTGTTGGATGGGCCACGCCTCTTTTATAACGCAACATGGCCCTTAACTTTTTTTTTTTTTTCAATTGGGATATTTACAAATATGATGATTATTTAATTTAGTATCAAACAAAAAAACCTAATTGTTTGTAGTTTAGAAAAATGATCCATCACTCCGGTACGGGTTACTAAAGATTCAATATCGGTCTTTTAACAACCCGGTTGAGTGTTTCCTACTTAACAGAACTCCGTGATGTGGTACCCACTATGTTGCAGAAATAGGATTTTCAGACTTTCTAGAATTTGATGAAAATGGACTCGGATGATGAATAAATTATGTTTTGCACGTATGTTCTCGATTCCCTTGAACATTTTATTACTTATTCTTGTGTTAAAACTGAAAAAACGATGTCTGGAAAACAAAAACAATGACTGGAATCCCGATGAACTTGTTTGGAACAAATGAGGTTTTTCGTATCAAAATACATAGAAACTTATACTAAGTAGTTATCCTTATATAAATTCAATTGAACAATATCAAATTAATATGTGGTCCGAGTGTGTATAACGTACATGTTGGAAAAAAGGGTTTAATGGTTGATACAATCGTCAACCAAAGCAAGTTCATTTCCTCGTATCTGATTTGTAGGAGTTTAAGATGTATTATGATGTTTAGTAGTTTCATATATTTTTTGTAACACCCGTATTTTGGACCGGAAGTTTTACCACTCAACTGAATTTCTATACAAAACAAATTTGAATTAAATTAAATTAGTGGACTTAAAACTTTAAGCATTTAATTTAAAGTAATTAAAAACAATAATAATTAATTAGTTAGATGATAAGTTAGGTCAGAATCTTTAAGATCGGGAATTAAGGAATAACATTTGGGTAAATTCATTTAATTATTATATGCACTTATTTGTGACGAATTTTATCATTTAAGGCTGGATTAAAAGATATAAATCTAGAAATGTATTTAGAAAGTCATATTGAGTTAAATAGAAAATTGAAGATTGGGGGCAATCTTGTCAATTTTAGAAACTTAGGCTTAAGTTGGACTTTAACTTGGCAAACTAAGTTTTCGACTTATATTGTGAAAGATATTAACTTGTTGGGTTAAGTTGGAAGTTGTGGGTTAAAGATATTAGTAGAAAGTCATATTGGAGAAAAAGTAAGGTGAGCAAACATATCGGATTTCCGAAACCAAACTAATACCGATACCGAACCGGACCCAAATATACATTATGCTTCGGGATTCGGTTCCTTCAAATGGTTGTTTTTGGTTTTCGGTTTCATCGATTTTAGATAAAAAACTGAATTGGTAAAAGTTTTCAGGTTGGTTATTTCAAGATATTAAAGTAAACAGAGGGTTGGCAAAACTTCCTTCGTGCACTCAATAATCTATATGATGAACGAAAAGATTGAAAACGAAGGATGTGTGGTGAAAAGATTTTGTGGAATGTGTTCAGAATGTTCTGAATGTACGATATGTCCGGAATATCCATAATGTACAATCTCATATTCCGAAATATCCGAAATGTAATACCACTTACAAACTCCGGAACAACTCTAGAATTGAGCATTATTCAGGAGTAAATGATCAGTTTTGAAAAGAAAAAAAAAAGTTAATTTTGTTAATGAGGTCTTCTGTAAAGGTTAGTCTACCAATATATCAAATTATATTGAAATGCTACAAAACCTAGATCTTGCAAGCAAATTTTGAATGCGAATTCATTTTGATAGAATCTTTCGACTCCGATTTGATCTAAATTTTGAATGCGAATTCATTTTGATAGAATCTTTCGACTCTGATTTGATCTTATAAAGTGTAGAACAGTTGTATGTAAGATCTTGAGAATCTTGGCTTGTTTCTCTCGTAAAAGTATATAACCCGACTTAACTTATCGCGTTTTCAACTTCTTTTGCAAACATCTAGGGTATTTCATTTCAACCCCACTTAAGTCGTAAAAAGAATAACAATTAATTTACTTTTTTAATTGCCAAGGAGACACATCAGCCCATAACATCAACTAAAACAACCTCCAGCCAAGTTTCTCATGATGTAAAAGAGAAAAGTTATGTTTCTATTTAAGTAACCAGAATAATAAGTCTCGAGTAAGAGTTAAAAAGAAAGAAAAGATTTACATGCAATTAATTTCCTCTCACTATAAATCAGAAAAAAAGAAGTGGTTTATGATCTAGAATCTAAATATACTTGCTACCAGAAAGAAGCCTATTAGAATGTTACAATTTCACAATGAAAAAAAAAAAGAAGAAGAATCTATACCAACCACGCCTTTCTTGAGGGCAAATACGGCATTATCCATTCCAAACCCTAAAATTTCCACAAAATTAAAACTAACCTCAAGAAGAGTCTTGGGTCATTTTTTTTCACCACTTAATTTATTAATTTATCTTATCATCCCTCTTCTTCTGAATCTGAATCAATGGATAAAAACAATCGTGGTCTAACAGACCGCTTTTGTCTAGGAAACAAAAACGGACTATCCGATCCTTCCCTTTCCCTACTACTCTTTTCAGATCTCCCATCACTCATTCCAAGTAGCAATGAAGCTATACAGCAAAAATAAATTAAAAATCAAATTAGCAAAAAAATAATAATAAATAAATAAATAAAAAAAACCCATCAACTTAATACCAGTATCCGCCAATGAATCCAGCGTACCATCTTTCAATGGTGCTTTCTGTCTTGAATTCAACCCATTCACACCCGGATCCGGTTCACAGCGGACCCCACCACCACCCCCACCGCCACCTAGGCTAAGAGATATCCAGTCATCACTTCGGAAACCGTTTGATGACATGGATTGCTGACGTGTCACCTCGACATGTTCTGTTGTTGCTTCTAACGGTTTTGTAGGAAGAAAAAGCTGAAGTGACGGGTCATCGCCTCCGTAAGCTGCTAACGGGTTATCAACCAACCCATCGTCCGCTCCAAGTGCGGTGGGACCACCCATTGAAGTCTCGCCACCCAATGTAAATCCGCCAAGTGGACCGTTATCAGTGGGGTCCGCATCTGAACCGAATAACTGAAAGCTGGGCCCCACTCCATGATTGTTGTTAGAAGGTACAGACCAAAAGGGCGCTCCAAAATCATCATTGAAAAGACCAAGCGGAAGACTAGAAGGGTCTTCAGGATGCGAATGCAAGGGTAGATTTGGAAAACCAATTTGTGCAGAAGAAGAAAGAAGGTTGTCATTATGAGTAACAACAGTGTCAGCCACAGCCATAGCCTCAGCCTCGTCTTCTGAATCACTCAGAACGATGACATCAGCGTCACCCGGATTTACAAATCCATGAATGTTCAACGAAAGTGAGTCAAGGTCAACCCCGTTAGGGGTAGAATAGTCAAACTGCCCACCACCATCTTGATTGACACTAGTATCATCACCACCACTACCAGTGGCACTACTGCTCATGGGAATAACATTATTATGAGTAGTAGTGGTATTATTACCAATACCATGACCGTTGTTGTTTATGAAGTTTTCAGGCAGTTTGCTGCCCGAAGAAAGTGAATTTAAATTATCGGGTTTTCTGACTTCCCAAAACCCGTTTTTGTTTTTTTTCATTCCGAGTTTTAAGCCCCTAGTGTGACCTTCGGAGCCGGTCAAACCTTCCTGTTTGACCTGTTTTAGAGCTTCTAATTTGGGTTTAGAGTCGACTTCCATGGGGACACCAACACAAAGTGTCCCATCGGGCAGATGCCACTGCCCGAGTTCTCCTAGACTTTTTCGGTCATCTTCTGACTTTGCCCGCCATGAACCGTCTGGTTTCACTTCGATTTCTGTCACGTCCTCCCCACAATTACGCATCTTCATAAAAAAAAAAATAACTTTTAGTTAGTAAATCGTTTAAAAAAATTGTTAGAACTCAAAACAAAGATAACCAAGAATAGATTAAACGATAACTAATTACCTTAGATGTTATAAGCGTAAAATATGGGTCGATAATGACATTCTCCAAAGCGTAATTCTTGAGACAAATTGGGCATTGCCACTAAAGGAAACACAAAGGTTTTAAAAGAAAAAAAATTAATAACTTATTAAAAGAGATAAATATGATTATATATATCAATGAAGAATTGTATAAATGTTCTTGCCTTACGAGACCGTTGATTCATTTCAACAAACACTTCAAGATCAAAACAGCCCATGTGGGCACACGGTTTGAATCTTCCAGCAATTTTCATTCTAGAACCACTCATCTGTAACATAAATATGAAATTCAAATCTTCATGTTAAGAAAAGAAAGAAGCAAAACTATCAATAACAGTTTAGTCCCTGTGGTGTGTCAAAAGTTACGGATTTAGTCCAGATTTTTCATTTTACAATATTCGTCCCAGAAACTAAATGTGTTAAAAGGAAAATGACTATATTTCCCCCATCTTAATCTTAAATTCTAAAATCAAATCAAAACAGTAGTGACCATGATCCAACAGATGGCACATCTCGACTAAAGACATAACTTTTGACATGGTCCACAAGGACTAAAATTGTAATTTACTAATTTAAAACAAAAGAGATGAAAGAAAATGTGGTTTACTTACAGGGCAACGTAGATTAACCGGTATAGAATCAGAAACAACCTCCAGATCGCTGTCACTGTCAGCATTTTCTGTGGGGGCCCCACCGCCAACACAGCGGCGAACACGTGCAAGAGCATCTTCAAACCGCTCACCATCAGACTCTTTAGGAATAAGGTTGAGAATCTATCAGGGGTAAAATCGTCAAAAATAAAAACAATAAACATGGTAGTCATAAACAGCTGAAAATAAGGTTGAGATTTCTATTGGTAAAAAAAAATAAAATGACTTCCTGTCAAGACAACATAAAACATGGTAACCACATGGCAGTATTGAGGTGGGGGTATTTTGGTCAAAAAAAACAATAGCATAGCATTTTTTAAGAAACTAACATCTGGATTTGAAGGAGACTTCCCACCTGTTGAACTGTGCGCCGTTTTATTATCCGGACACCCAAACAGAAGACACGAGAATCACATCCTGTTAATGAAATTTTATTAATTCCATCTCGAGTGCATGGTGTGATCTGACAAAAAAGAAATCTTTATTAATCATGTCTCGAGTGTAGGGTGTGTTTATATAAATAACAAATCCATAAATAAATTTAAATGTGTATTATAAATATATATATATATATATATATATATATATATATATATATATGGATATATTAAACTTACAATAGGACCATCATCACGACCATTGGCTCCAAGCAATTGAGCACCTGGTCTATTTGTTGCACGCATAGGCACCCCTGAGTCAAATGCAGAGTTTGATTAAAACAAATGGAATTAAAGCTTAAATAGATTGACACAATTTAAATCAGATAAAATGATACCTACCATTGATTTGAAGTTCTGCATATTGTGGCCATTGCATTCTAAAAGAAACCTTGTCATTCAGAAGCATACACCAGGCCTAGATATATAGAATCACCCATATTTCATTAAAAATATATATTTATGTTAATATAACTTCATTAAAAGGGAATTTATATTTTATATTAGTAAACTAACCTGCACATCATACTCTGGTTTCACCAACAAATCCCTATCTACTCTTGTAAGTTGAAAAGTCTTTTCAACACTTTGAACTGGATTTGCACTGAAATACACACCAAAGGTAATAAAGAAAAAACCCAGAGCCATCATTTTTCATTCAAAATAATTCCATTCTAAAATATGTAAACAAAGGATTTCAATTTTCAACATAGAGCCTTTTAAGAAAGGGAAAATTGTGGAGAATAGTATGAGCAATGTACTTTTTTCCTTGCCCATAATAGCAGCATACTTACATTTCTTTATCCCTACTAGCAATGTACTTACATTTTTCTACCAATATGGGAATTCCATTTTATTTGTTACATATTGCAATTTAAGTATATTGCTAGTATGGGTAAATAAATGTATGTCTATTGCTATTATGGATAAAATATAAAAGGCATTGCCTATATTGGTTAAAAGAGTAAAGTACGTTGCTATTTCTTGCAAATTTCCCTTTAAGACACACACACACACAAAAAAAAAAAAAAAAAAAAAAAAAAAAACTCACCCGTCTGTAGGTGGATTTGCAATAATCAGCTGTACAGGAGGTAAAGGATGCGCCACAGAAAGCAAGAACCTGAATTTTGAAAAATTACATCAGTAAGTAACTATTTCTTATTAAATTTTTTTTTAAAAAAATTGCAATAGAATTTTGGGAATAAAAATTATTACTTACGGATCTGCACGACCAAGTCTACAAAGTTCACAATAAAACTTTGGTGGAGGTGCTGGTAAAATACCCTCCAAGGGCTTTTCGGGAATAATAACACAATTAATATGCTGCCACACATGGCATCTTGGATCTTCACACTGAGAATAAAAATTGAATCATAATACATAAACCAATAATGGGAATGAAAAAAGGTAAAATGGCATATAAGAGAAGGAAAAAGAAACCTTTATCATTGAATCAGCTTGCAATGAGCTTCCACAGGGGCAACGAACTTTTTCCATGTTTTGAAGAACATCTTCAATCTCCTCTTTAGGTTTTGTA